TTCTCTTCCTCCCTCCCTCCCTCTTTCTTTCTTTCTTTCTTTCTTTCTTTCTTTCTTTCTTTCTTTCTTTCTTTCTTTCTTTCTTTCTTTCTTTTTTCTTTCTTTCTTTCTTCTTTCTTTCTCTTTCTTTCATCTCTCTCTTTCCCTCCCTCCCTCCCTCCCTTCCTTCCTTCCTTCCGTCTCTCTCTCTTTCTTTCTTTCTTTTTTATTTATTTTTAACTTCTCATTTCTTTTGAGACAAAGCCTCACCCTGTTACCCAGGCTGGAGTGCAGTGGTGTGACTTCAGCACACTGCAGCCTCAATATCCTGGACTCAATCCATCCTCCCACCTCAGCCTCCCAAGCACCTGGACTACAGGCTCATGCCACCATACCCAGCTAATTTTTCTATTTTTTGTAGAGACAGGGTGTCACTATGTTGCCCAGGATGATCTCCCTTCAAGCAAATCTCCTGCCTCACCCTCCCAAAGTACTGGGATTACAGGCTTGAGTCACCATGCCTGGCCTATGTTTCTCTTCATTAGTTGGTTTGTATAGTTACTGATGATAATCTGTTGCTAGATGGGGCTATAGTGATGAATGCGATGCAGAATCTGCTCTCAAGAAGCTTTTACCATTTGCAAAGCCATGTAATGTCTTATTTTACATTTTATTTTAGGTAATGTAGTTTGGCTGGATGAAATGACAGCCACACGAGCACTTATCAATATGAGCTCCCTGCCTGCCCAGGATAAGATAAGAAGCAGGGATGCCAGTGAGGACAAGTCAGCCGAGAAAAGGAAAAAAGGTAACTGAACACAAAGGAGGGAACTGGGGTCTGAAAGTCCTTCTTTACACAGTCCTGTTGTGGGCCTTTGAGTTTCTGAGCAGAGCTCTGTATAGCATCTCATCACCAAGCGTTTCTGAACTAAGCTATGATGCTTTAGCTCATCAGGAAATAGGAGAAAATACTGGACTTTTAAAATTATATGAGATAGTTCATCTTGTATCTCATTATATGAAATATTTTATCTTGTTTCGTCTTGTCCTTCACATTCCATTTTAGATAAGCAGGAGGACAGTTCAGAGGATGATGAAGCTGAAGAAGGAGAGGTTGAAGATGAGAATTCCAGTGATGTGGAGGTTAGTAACAGTGGAAAGACAGGTGGAAGGTTACTGTAAAAAATTGCTTACTGTCTTTTTAATTTAAGCCTTAAAGACTTAGTTGTGTTTTTTTCTCTAGCTTTCTTTCTTTTTTTTTGAGACGGAGTCTTGCTCTGTCACCCAGGCTGGAGTGCAGTGGCCGGATCTCAGCTCACTGCAAGCTCCGCCTCCCGGGTTCACGCCATTCTCCTGCCTCAGCCTCCCGAGTAGCTGGGACTACAGGCGCCCGCCACCTCGCCCGGCTAGTTTTTTGTATTTTTTAGTAGAGACGGGGTTTCACCGTGTTAGCCAGGATGGTCTCGATCTCCTGACCTTGTGATCTGCCTATCTCGGCCTCCCAAAGTGCTGGGATTACAGGCTTGAGCCACCGTGCCCGGCTCTCTAGCTTTCACCGTTAGACCTTCTGAGGGTGCACCAGGCTCTTGTCCTTTAAGTTCGCGTGGATGTAACGATTCACCTTGAAATCTCAGAATAGTACTCATGCTTCTACAAAAGAGAAAATAGTTTTATTGAGAAATACTTTGAAGTGTTATCTAATTGGTAAAATGAAGAAACAGCAAGTAATGGCATACTTCCTAATGGATTATGTACTATTGTTAAAAATATTAGCATGTATTCATTTAAAAAATATTTCCTGAGTACCTATTATATACCGTATTCTAAGTGCTAGGGATATAGCTTCAAGTCAAACAAAGTCCTGGCCCTCTTGGAGCCTGCACTCTAGTGGGGAGTACAGAGGATACACTGATGCACAGATACCTTATACCGTGTCAGGTGGCGATGAGTGCTGTGAAAACTAAAGGGTAGGGGATAGAGAATGATGGAGACTGTTCTTTTAGACAAGGTGGGCAGGGGAAACCTCTGAGTTAGAAATGCTACAGAGGAACTAGTGCTGTAATGCTTGCAAGTATTAAAGGTAGAATGCTTTTCTTGATCGTAGCTTTACTGCTGAATAAATATCAAAAGGACTTTAATTTTTATATTAAAAATACTCTTCTTTCTTAAGTTGGACACGTTGTCTCAGGTAGAAGAGGAGTCTTTGTTAAGAAACGATCTTCGTCCAGCTAACAAACTTGCTAAAGGAAACAGGTTATTCATGAGATTTGCTACAAAAGGTAAATACGATATTTGGTATTGTTTCGTATTTTCACAAAATGAGTTATTATGGAATGGCATCCTTCTTTTATGAATAGAAGTTAGATCAAGTAATCTCAAAGTTCCTTTTTAACTATAATATTCTGCGCTTATGAAATAATTGTTTGCCACCTGAGTTGGAATTTCTGATTTTAAAAGTGAATATTAACTATTTGTATATTTCTGTGACTTCTGGCTAAAGTGAGTTATTTTCTGTTAAAACTGGTTTGCCCCATATGTTTTCAGCCAGTTACCATCTGAATTATGAAAACTTTAAAATGAAACTTTATTTATTACAGCAACGTCCTCCTGAACATTGCCAATGTACCATTCAGTTCTAATTCCCTTCTCATAAGACTGTTTACACACAGTGACTTTTGATGGGCATTTAAAATGTGTATGTGTATATATGCATACACATATACACATATTGGTTTTTTCGATCATTTGAGAGTTAATTGAAGACAAAAGCCATCACCCCTAAATGTATTCCAAAGAACAAGAACATTGTCTTATACATAGCACACTTATCAAAATCAAGAAATTTAACATTAATACAGTACTGTTACCTAATCCGTAGTCGATATTCAAATTTTGTCAGTTGTTCCAATAATGTCCTTTATATATTCCCCGCCCAGCCCCCAGGTCTAGGATCCATCCAGGACTGAGTGTGTAAGTATGTAATGTTTCCTTAGTCCCCCTTAAGCTGGAACTACTTCTATCCTCCCATGTTTTCCAAGAGTATCGGTTTACTATTGTATAGAATGTCCCTCAGTTTGGGTTTGTCTGATGATTCCTCGTGGTTGAATTTGGGTTGTGCATTTCAGACAGTCGTACCACAGAAGCAATGTCATGTCATTTCAAGGCATCACATCAGGAGGCCTGGGATACTTACTCGTCCCAGTCCTAGGGGCGTTCACTTTATTCACTTGGTTAAGATAATCATCACTAGGTTTTTCCACTGTAAAGTTACTATTTGTGATTTAAAAATTGGTGGGCTGGCCGGATACAGTGGCGCATGCCTGTAATTGCAACACTTTGGGAGGCTGAGGCAGGAGGATCATTTGAGCCCAGGAGTTCGAGACCAGGCTGGGCAACATAGCAAGACCTCATCCCTATTTTTAAAAATTAAAAAATGAATAAAATAAAAAATTGGTGGGCAGATACTTTGAAATCATGTAAATAGCTGTTGCTCATCGGAGCTTCATGCAGTAGCTTTAGTATCTGTTGATGCCTTTCTGACTGTATCATTTCTTTACTAGTAGACAGGTGCTCTGCGGAAGAGCTTTCTGTTTTTACGTATTTGTTTGTTTATTTACCTCAGTTTAGAATCCTGGCTTCTTTATTCAGTGGGTTATCATCCAATAATATCAGTATTTTATTTTATTTATTTTTTTGTTTGTTTTGAGATGGAGTCTCGCTCTGTTGCCAGGCCAGAGTGCAGTGGCGCGATCTCAGCTCACTGCAACCTCTGCCTCCTTGGTTCAAGCAATTCTCCTGTCTCGGCCTCCCTAGTAGCTGGGACTGCAGGTGCACGCCACCATGCCCAGCTAATTTTTGTATTTTTAGTACAGATGGGTTTCACCCTGTGGGCCAGGGTGGTCTCGATCTCTTTTTTTTTTTTTTTTTTTGAGACGGAGTCTCGCTCTGTCACCCAGGCTGGAGTGCAGTGGTGCGATCTCGGCTCACTGCAAGCTCCACCTCCCAGGTTCATGCCATTCTCCTGCCTCAGCCTCCCGAGTAGCTGAGACTACAGGCGCCTGCCACCATGCCCGCCTAATTTTTTGTATTTTTAGTAGAGATGGGGTTTCACCGTGTTAGCCAGGGTGGTCTCGATTTCCTGACCTCGTGATCCACCCTCCTCGGCCTCCCAAAGTGCTGGGATCATAGGCTTGAGCCACCGCGCCCGGCCTCGATCTCTTGACCTTGTGATCTGCCTGCCTCGGCTTCCCAAAGTGCTGGGATTACAGGCATGAGCCACCTCACCCGGCCTGATATCAGTATTTTAATTTACAAATTGTCTTGGATTTGGCCGGTAGAACCCCTTTCTTTCTTTATGGCACAGCAAAACATCTTGCTTTTCCAGACTCGTTTTGCATCTTACCTGCTCCACATGTGGAATCAGCCATTTCTCCAAGGAGCTGGTGGGCATGGTTTGAGGGGTTTGGGGGTTGGGGGCTATACATACTGGTTTGTGTTGTCACGTTTACCTGCAGCACTGGATATATTTACAGTGGTGTTTGTTCTTTACAGTCAGAGTGTCCAAGAACTGTGGAAGGCCTTTGTATTACTGCTTTGGACAAAAATTTATGATGACTGACCACCTTTCTTTCCTGTTAACTGACATTTCAACTTGACATATGTGATCTTTACCACATTTACTCATTTAAGTGGCTATTTGAGTACATTCTACATGTACAGTACTATGCTGTATTTTTAAGCCATTCTGAGGAACACAATAAGCTGGAAAAAATGATTTACCAAATACATGGAATTATATATAGTCTGTTTCCTTAATCCTGATTCTGTGTTGTTGGCATGTTATTCCAAAGTGAATATCATCTTTCATGGGGTGGCAAAAATGCCACCATTTTGAGAAAGCCTTTTTGATTCCTGAGTACCTGTAATGACCTAAAGCTCTTTTATGCCTCTTGGAACCTTGTATCTTGTATTGTTTATTTTTGTTTTCTCCATTAAGTCATTTGGCTCCAAAACAGCAGTTTCAACCTTGTTCATCTCTGTATTTTGCTTTGTCCCCTCTACACTGCATTGCTGTAGTGGGCACTCAGAGTGTGAATGTTGGTAGTGGATTTTTACTTTTTGTTGGCAAATTGCGCTGATCTGATTCCAGCTATGGAAAACATTAAAAAAAAAAATTCAACATTGTCTTCGTACTCTCGGGAAATCCTAGGTGATTATTGTCATTCATTTGTAGATGACAAAAAGGAGCTTGGAGCAGCCAGAAGAAGTCAGTATTACATGAAATATGGGAATCCAAATTACGGAGGCATGAAAGGAATTCTTAGCAATTCATGGTAAGCCCAAAACCTTCAAATGCAATAGTATTTAAGTTTTTCTTAATCCTTCAGTTGGCATTCTGTGGTGAAATGTCTAAACCCTGTGTAGACTGGGAGGAAGACAAGAGGGAAGAATTCAAGATTCTTAAATGTGGTAAATGATGGGGAATGCTGAGTTTTAGTTAGTTACATTTAAAATATCTGTGTTAGTACCTAACATTGTGTCAACATGTAGTTGAAATGAATTAGTGAGGCCGGACGCGGTGGCTCACGCCCATAATCCCAGCACTTTGGGAGGACGAGGCGAGCAGATCACCTGAGGTTAGGAGTTTGAGACCAGCCTGGCCAACATGGTGAAACCCCATCTCTACTAAAAATACAAAAATTAGTCTTGCATGGTAGTGGGCACCTGTAATGCCACCTACTCAGGAGGCTGAGGCAGGAGAATTGCTTGAACCCAAGAGGCGAAGGTTGCAGTGAGCTGAGACGGTGCCTTTGCACTTCAGCCTGTGAGACAGATCGAGACTCCATCACAAAAAAAAAAAAAAAAAGAAATAGTGGATTTCAAGGTCCTTCCTATTAGTTTTTGATTGTGTGCTTATTTTGGCATTCTTGCAGGAAGCGAAGATATCATTCCCGTCGTATTCAGCGGGACGTGATCAAGAAGAGAGCCCTGATTGGGGATGACGTTGGCTTGACGTCGTATAAACATCGGCATTCTGGTAGTTGCCTGCTCAGCTCTTGGGTAGACACATGTTTGGCTCCTGAAATCATATTTTTATTCTTAATGCAATCTTTTAAGGTTCCAAACTTTATCATCCTCTCTTCCTTGCCCTCACCCTCTGCCAACATATAGGAAAGTAAGTCAAGTCACAATTAATTTTAAGTTGCCCAAAGAGGTCAAATGATTTTGTAAAAGCTGTTCTATCAAAAAAGGCAAAATGTGACATAGGAAAAATTAAAACATAACTTTCCTTAAGATCCTAATTTTTCTACTGTTAATATCAGCAGCTGCATGAAAACAATTTTTTTTTTTTAAGATGGAGTCTCGCTCTGTCTCCCAGGCTGGAGTGCAGTGGCTTGATCTCGGCTCACTGCAGCCTCTACCTCCTGGATTCAAGCAGTTCTCCTGCCTTAGCCTCCCGAGTAGCTGGGACTACAGGCACGCGCCACCATGCCCAGCTAACTTTTGTATTTTTAGTAGAGATGGGCGTTTCGCCATGTTGGCCAGGCTGGCCTTGAACTCCTGACCTTGTGTTCCACCCACTTCGGCCTCCCAAAGTGCTGGGATTACAGGCGTGAGCCACCGTGCCTGGCCAAAAACAATTTTTAAAATTATTCTATCAGATGAACTGATTGTATTGTTCTTTTTCTGTATTAAAAATAGGCTGCTGTGTTGAGTGCTTTGTGCGTGTTGGTTTGTGCATGTGAATGCCTCAGAAAAGTGGGATATCATGACCTGGGTTTCTTTCTCCTTTTTTTGGTGCTTATTGTAAAAGAACCATTTTATTTATATTTTATAAAGAATTATTCTTGTTTTGAGCCTAATCTGTAGAATCTTCTACATGCCTAATAGAACTAGCCAAGTCAGCATACAAAATAACATACACACACATTTATCATTGCAATGGGGACAGAAAGGGATGAAGTCTAGACATTTTATTTAATGTGTATATACAAAATTGTGTATTTGAGATCTACATGTTAATAATACACATAGTCTGGGAACAGTGGCTCACACCTGTAATCCCAGCACTTTGGGAGGCCAAGGCAGGAGGATCAGTTGAAACCAGGAGTTCGAAACCAGCCTGGGCAACATAGTGAGACCTTGTCTTTACAAAAAATTAAAAAATTAGCCAGACCAGGCATGATGGCACATGCCTGTGGTCCCAGCTACCTGGGAGGCTGAGATTGCCTGAGCCTGGGAGGTTAAGGCTGTAGTGAGCCAAGATTGTGCCACTGTATTCCAACCTGGGCGACAGAGCAAGACCTTGTCTCAAAATAATAATAACACATATACTTTTCTGTTACACAGTTACACTTTTCCAATTTTAGTTACTTTAAAATATTTTCATCATACACTTTTTATTTCCATATTAAGGAAATTAAAAAGCAAATTGCCCCTATTTCTAGTACCCTGTATGATGACTAATTTCATCTTACATTTTTCCCATGTGTGTATTTTCATAATAAGTAGTATAACTCTTGTGAACATATACTTTACATTCTACTTCTTTCGTTTATCGTATTTTTCCATTTTCATTATTCATGGTGCTTATGTTCTCTAAAGTCACTGTGAATGCTGAATTAGCAAATACTGAATGCACATAGCCTCTGGTCACATCATTTTTGTCAGTTGATAATATGTAACCTTGTTTTACATATGTTTCTCTTTAAAGACACCTTATTTAAGATACATTGTTGATTCGTTAACGTTGAGTTCACGGCCAATAGCCCTATAACTCATGCCTGAACCCACCTTACCTGACATGGTATTTTTCCACAAGGCACATCAGTGCCCTCTTGCATCTTGGAACGCTAGGCAGCACTTCAGCGCAACACTCAGGGCCATTTTAAGCAGTGACATCAGCAGCAGGCACACAAGTGTGAAAAATGCGGCACTCGTCAGTCGGACTGAAACAGACGCTTGTTTACAGCATGAGATAAAACAGGAAGGCAAGGTGTTGCTTTGTTTGACCTCTGCTGGGAGTGTGTGTGCCTGGTGACTCAGATTTTTTTGCCACACTGTGCGTGCCAGCAAATGACCATGGAAGCATTGCAAGTATTCATTTTGGAGTTACAAATAAATTTGGCAAATTTGCAAATACAAAATCTGTGAATAACAAGGGTCAGTTGTGTTTTAAATGACTTTATGGTATTTGATTAGGCTGCTGTGTCATACTTTACCTAGCCATCCTCCTGTTGCAGTATCAGAGTAATGTCCGTTCGGCACTGTTATAGATAGTGCTCCAATAAAATGTCAGGGGTGGGAACCCCACCTTTTAAAAAGGTCACCAATGTAGAGTGGAAAATCATACTTCTTAATTTTAGTGCTTTTCCTAATGTTTTCTGGTTTAATTTCTTCAGGGCTAGTGAATGTTCCCGAGGAACCCATTGAAGAGGAGGAAGAGGAGGAGGAGGAAGAGGAAGAGGAGGAAGAAGACCAGGACATGGATGCAGATGACAGAGTGGTGGTAGAATACCACGAGGAGCTCCCGGCTCTCAAGCCGCCCCGGGAGCGGAGTGCGTCTAGACGATCCAGTGCCAGCAGCTCAGACTCAGATGAAATGGACTATGATCTAGAACTCAAAATGATTTCCACCCCTTCACCAAAGAAAAGCATGAAAATGACTATGTATGCTGATGAAGTGGAGTCTCAGTTGAAAAGTATTAGGTAAAACTTTGTTTTATCAATGCTAGCTTTAAATTTGATTTTAAATACTAATATAACTTCTTAATTCCTCCTAATTTTATATCTTTTATCTATTCTGATTTCAGTCCCTTGTAGGAGTTTAATAAATGCATCCAATATTTCCTCTGTACAAGCAGTGAGTCTTGTTATGAAAACAAGAGACAACCTAGACAGTGACAATCATCTGTATTCCCACTCTTTCCCCACAGTAACTGCTGTTAGCAATTTGGCGAATGACCTTTCATCTATTTGTGTGTGTGTGTGTGTGTGTGTGTGTATATGGCACATGGAAAAACTATAGATGTATTTGTATAAAAGTGTATTTTTTATAAAAATGAGGTTATGCTATTTATAGTTTTGCATTGTGCATTTTTCACTTAACATATTGTAGACATTATTTTTTTCAACTGTATGTAGTCTGTTGTTTGAAAGTATTATGATTTATTTAACCAATTACTTTTTGATGGACTTTAGGTTTCTATTTTCTTACAATTGCACTAACTAAATAAATTCCTCAAAGTCTAGTTATTACACAAACAATATACATGTTTAAAAAGATGGTAAGTATTGCTTTATTTTTTTCCAGAAGGGTTTTTTTTTCCTTTTTTTTTTTTGAAACGAGTCTCATTCTGTCGCCCAGGCTGGAGTGTAGTGGTGCCATCTCGGCTCACTGCAAGCTCCGCCTCCTGAGTTCACACCATTCTCCTGCCTCAGCCTCCCGTGTAGCTAGGACTACAGGCGCCCGCCACCACGCCCGGCTAATTTTTTGTATTTTTAGTAGAGATGAGGTTTCATCGTGTTAGCCAGGATGGTCTTGATCTCCTGACCTCGTGATCCACCCGCCTTGGCCTCCCAAAGTGCTGGGATTACAGGCATGAGCCACCGCGCCTGGCCTGTTCACTTTTTTTTTTTTTTTGAGATAGAGTTTGGCTCTGTCGCCCAGGCTGGAGTGCAGTGGCACAATCTGGGCTCACTGCAAGCTCCGCCTCCCAGGTTCACGCCATTCTCCTGCCTCAGCCTCCCATGTAGCTGGGACTACAGGCGCCCGCCACCACGCCCAGCTAATTTTTTGTATTTTTAGTAGAGATGGGGTTTCATCGTGTTAGCCAGGATGGTCTCGATCTCCTGACCTCGTGATCTGCCCGTCTTGGCCTCCCAAAGTGCTGGGATTACAGGCGTGAGCCACCGCGCCCAGCCCCACATTCTCATTTTTAGTTTCAGAGAACTTTCTGGTAGAGAATGCTGCCGGAACGGTACTGGCACCTAGCATGGTATATCTTTAGAAGAGAAGTCTGCCCTTTAAAGAGAGAGACTGTAGACTATACCGTGTGTTGACTACAGCCAAATCACAGCATGTGTGAGCGGAAGCCCCAATCCCTTTGTAGGCCTCTACTTAACATTTGTCCCGGACTTGTAGTTACGTGCTCTGTGATAGCACATACACGTGTGGAAACCACCTTCGAAAACCTGCTTACTCGGACCAGTCTCTTTAGGGCGGGCAGATCATGGTTTCCATAAGCAAATAATTATAAGTTTATGGATTTGTAAGTGAATGTTGGCCATATTAGACTGGATTTCTTAAATTGTTTCCTCCAAAGTATGAGATTGTTGTTTGGGCCTTGTCTCACAGTTGAAGTTGGTTAACTGTGCCCCATCCTACCCCCTTTTTAAAGGAACTCCATGAGGGCAGATAGTGTATCTTCAAGCAATATCAAAAACCGAATTGGTAACAAATTACCACCTGAGAAATTTGCAGATGTCCGACATCTATTAGATGAGAAGCGTCAGCACTCCCGTCCACGGCCACCAGTCAGCAGTACTAAATCAGGTACTGTTCTTCTCTTGGATTCCTGGCTGGATTCTGAGCTCCAGAAAGCAGACTGGGGCAGAGATAGGTTCCTGAGTAAAACGTGCGATCTGTAAACTGATTTAGCTGTGCTGGTTCATCATGTCTAAATTGTGGGCTAGGTGTTGGAAATTCAGGAGATGAAAAATAATCAGACTTCTGAAAACCTAGCTTTAAATATTTTCATTTCAAATAATTAATTATTCCTTGGTATCTCTGGGGGATTGCTTCTAGGACCCCCTCCCCGCTCCCCTACAGATACCAAAATCTGCAGATACCAAAATCCATTGATGCTTAAGTCCCTCATATAAAGTGACATATTATCTGCATATAACCTACACACATCTTCTCATATACTTTAAGTCATCTCTAGATTATTTATAATACCTAATACAGTATAAATTCTTATCCTGTATTTTGTAAAATTTGTATTATTTTTTGCTGTACTGTTGTGTCTTATTTTTTTTCCCCAAATATATTCAATCAGCAGTTGGTTGAATCTATAGATGTGGAACCCATGGATGAGGAGGGCCAACCATATTTGACTCTATGACACTGGTATACTTTATATCCAGGAATAATAGAAATTAAGTTGGGTGGTTGTCTGAATGGTTAAGAGTTTGAACTAGATCATTTGTATGTTCAAACACTGATTCCGCAGGTCTTCAGCCGTATCTGCTATGTGCCAGACCCTGGGCTAGGTGCTAGGAGTGCTAGAAGCCTTTGGAGGAGACGCAGAGCCACCATAGATCTACTAGGGAAATTGCGAAAGGTTTCTCAGTGAAAGTAGCGTTAGAGCCAGGCTTTGCAGAGGGTAGGATCTCTGTTGGCAAACCTGATTTTTTTTTACGTGGGAAGTAACCTGATCTTATATCTGTTTTAGAAAGATAACTTGAGGGCGGAGTGGGGTGGGGTAGAGGGTTAAAAAAGTAACGAGCCTGAACTAGGTCGATGGGGACAGAATGGATAAAGAACAGGAAGTCTTGTGAAGGAAGACTCAGTGCTAGGAAGCGCTGGAGGAAAGGAGCTCAGGCCTCAGTGACCGGAGAGACCAGGGTGCTGCTCTCCGAGAGAAGCTGAAGTGAGAGGAGACCTCGGCACAGGGCCTCGCCAATGAGTGTGTTTCTGTTGTTGCTGTCGTTGTGAGAGGGAACCCCAGGGGACAGGCAGATTTCTGGGGGGATTGAGGGATCCTTTGCTTTTTCCAATCTCTTTGTATTTACTGGGTAAATGTAATACGTTTATTGGAAACTACTTATATGTTCAAAGATTGTGCCTTCCGCTTTCCGAGAGCTCACAGGATTTTTTGTTTGCTGAAACTTTTGTAAATTATTTAGTCTGCTTGATTCTGCTTTAAAAAAAAAAAATGGTTGTTTCTTCGGAAATTTAGTTCTGGAGCAGTCAGTTGAGGATTTTTCCTCTGACAGCCCCTATGTCCGAATTTTCCTAGGGATATCCATACTGACTACAAAGGAAGACTGCGTAGCAGCCTGATTGTCAGGCCCTGTGTCCTCACTTGGGGGGCGGGGCAGGGGTTAGTGCCAGATCCTGTAGAGGTCTCAGGCGGCTGGTTCCGAGCATAAAGCACACACATGGTCACTGGTGCAATTTTTCTCTTTTTTCAGATATACGCCAGCGATTAGGAAAAAGACCATATTCTCCGGAAAAGGCTTTTAGTAGTAACCCAGTCGTTCGGAGAGAGCCCTCTTCTGATGTGCATAGTAGGCTCGGTGTTCCCAGGCAAGATATTAAAGGCCTCTACGCCGATACTCGGGAGAAGAAATCAGGTTGGTAACACTTAAAACCAATGGGAATGGGGATTCAGTGAGAGCAGAGGACAATGGGTGTATTGGAGCAGAAGGCAAGAAACAGCCCATGACAAACATAAGTGATTATTCCTTTTCCATTATAGTTATCATCAGTATCAGCATCAGCATCATCTCAACAGTAAGGAATGCTTAGAACATAGGAAAAAATAGCATACTCCTGGTTCTTTCTGCTTGGCACAAATCTTTTTAGTTTCATGTGAGCTATTCTGGTCTTTGTCCACATACAAGTCCTACTTTTTTCACATAGCATTTTATCGTAGTTGTTTGCCACATTTTATAAACTTTATAAATAAAACCTTTAGGCCCAGCACGGTGGCTCACACCTGTAATCCCAGCACTTTGGGAGGCCGAGACCAGCCTAACCAACATGGCGAAACCCTGTCTCTACTAAAAACACAAAACTTAGCCGGGTGTGGTGGTAGGTGCCAGCACCACCGCACTTCAGCCTGGGCAACAGAGCAAGACCTTGTCTGGAAAACAAAAACAAAAACAACTTTTAATTGCCTTATAATGTGGCTGTCCACCAAATTCTAAACACGTATTTCTCTATGGTTCATTTTCATGAAATATATTTCAAAAAGTAATGGATGGTGGGCAGGATTTCTGCAATGGTACAGTATAGTAGGCTCATCGGTTTGTAGAATGTTGAAGCTGGAAAGGAGCTGGGAATGGCCTACTCCTGGCAGAATGGATGGGCACACCGGGTGGTGTCTCAGCAGGGAAGGGCAGGAGTAGGAAGAAACAGCCTCTCAGGTGATTCTGATGTGTCTGGTGACAGGGAGGGACCTGACCTGTCCCCCACAGTGAGAATCCCCTGCTGGGTCCAGACCCTTCTGTTTGCAGGCCAGGGGCTGCGGCCCAGGAAATGAGATTTTACCTACCCAAGGCTGCACTGTGATGGCGTTTCCTGCACAGCAGGTGTTGGCAGTGCCACTGCCCCCTCAGTACCACCCTGGTTCTTAGTGCTGACTGTGAAAGTGAAATGCCATCTCATCCAAACAGGTAATTTATGGACTCGCCTAGGATCTGCACCCAAGACCAAAGAAAAGAATACGAAGAAAGTGGATCACAGGGCACCTGGCGCTGAGGAAGACGACTCCGAGCTGCAGAGGGCGTGGGGGGCTCTGATTAAGGAGAAAGAGCAGTCTCGCCAAAAGAAGAGCCGGTTAGATAACTTACCATCTCTCCAGATTGAAGTTAGTCGGGAAAGCAGCTCTGGTTCAGAGGCAGAGTCCTGATGCCCCGGGGCCTATGGCAACTGCCCTAAAACCTGACCTTCTTGCACAGGGTGGGGCGCACAGTAGGAACCTCCCCCGCAGGGGCTGGCGCCCTCTCGCTCCTGCTCACACAGTCACCCTCTCAGCTCTTGCTACTTCGGCAAGACGTCTTAAGAATGGGACACATTTTCAAGGGCGTCTCTATCTTTCGCTGCAGAGTCGTAGTTCTGGGCCCTCGATTCCTTTCCCATCACCCCACAGGCTTTACCCTTTGAGAAAAAGGCAGCCCTCCAGATTTTGTAGACATTTTTCTTAATATTTTTAACATTGTGTCTTTTAAAAGAAATGTTTTACACAGTTCATCCAAAGAGCAGAGAACTGAACTTCTCACTATTGCCTTGGCCCTGACAGCTGTTACCAGCACCCTTTTCCCAAGAAAAGTCAATTCCCAGGTGCTTATTGGACATCCTTCGAGGGGGAAGAGGAGGGAAGCGGCCAGCTCACCCTTCCGGGACCCTAGTGTGGGGGCGAATCTCACCGACCTGACCTCAGAGGTGCACCAGTGCCGCCCAGGTAGATAAGAGCTGCAGCATTGACTGTGCTTCCGTTCTTCCCTCGGGGATTGCTCATGTCATGGGCCTCTTACTTGCTGTCAGCTTGATGTGAAGATCAAGTTCAGTGCTGTGGGATTTTTAGGAACAAAAAACTGTGACGTCTGGATTTGGGGTTGATTTTTGTGCTGGGGGTGGGATTATGGGTTAATGTTAAAGAATTTTTAAGTCTGTATTATGTTTAAAACACAAATGATTTGAAAGTTTAAATTTTTAGTTTTTATATGTGGAAATTCTTCCTGTTGGCTAAAGGGGAAGCTCGAGTGGTGTCTTCTTTTGTGCTGTTAAATATATATTCTATTCTTTGGAAGAAGGCAGAGAGAGGAGTCTTATTATTTTTAAATGCTTCTAGTTGTAGAGCCTGTCTGTTGTACATAGAGTTCAGCTTGCTTTTTGGCTCCAGTAGGAAAAAAATCCATCCATCTGAGATGGGTCCTGTTGTTTATTATCACTCTAGAAGTTAATACATTGATATTTATTCTTTCTGTCCCCAAGTTGTGGCACCTGAAGACATCTTAAAACTTGGCAGAAAAGATAATAGTTATGAAAATTTTAGTTCATTTATTTTTAAACTCCTTTCAGATTATTTTACCATTAGGAGGAGGTAGATTGTTTCTTCTTGCTGTCTGATTTTTGTTTTGTAGTATTTAATTTTGTATTCCTCTGCAGTTTTGAGAAACAGTGTTTCGCTTCGGTTTGCTGGAACATGGGAGTTAGAGCTGGTCGTAAGCC